TGGACTTTGGGATCACTGAAGACAGGAAAAGCAGAACACGTTCAGATTCTGATGAAGACAACTGAAAAGGGGAGAGAAGGACGACACAGGAACAAGGGTGCTAAGTGCGGAGAAAGCTGAGAAGGCAGGGAAAGATGGGGACAGGCGCCCACAAGGGAAAACAACGGAGGATGAAAGTAAATGGCGAGGCCCCCAGGGAGTCCCCTCAGGCTGCTCTGTGGCTGCGCTCCAGCTTCATCCACAGTGGCGGGGAAAGTCAGTAAAAGGGAAAGAGCTGCTACCACAGGGTGGTGAGCAGGAAGGACAGCACAGGTGAACTACAAGAGCATCACTACGATGACCACGTACCAACCGCGAAGAGTGGGAAAGGTTAAGCCGTACAGAGTGGGGCGTGGGAGAAGCACAGACAATGATTGTCATGAGAAAGCAAACTTAGTACAGCTTTCTACTGTTCTCCTTACAGGACGGTCCTGCTCTGTGTGTTCATAAGGTTCTGCTCGTCATGGGGAAAGACAAGGAAGGCTACCATCATCTTCTTCTGTTCTCTAAATTGCTATCATTTAGCCGGGCATGATGGCGCACACCTGTAACCCCAGCACTCGGGAAGCTGAGGAGGAGGATTCTTGTGAGTTCAAGACCAGCCTGGACTCCAAAGCAAGCTCAAGGCCAGCCTGAACTGCACAGCAAGACCCTCTCTCAAAATAGATAATAAATAAATTTCTATCATTTGAATGTGTAATAAGATATAAAACTCTACCAGAGAAATCACTAAACATGAAAACAGCCACGTGAATAAACACCTTACCTGTTAGCCAAAACACACAGTTCTTTTAAACTTGGAGCCATGGAATGTTCTTTATAGTTTTCTCGTAAGAAAAACGTTGTCAGGCCGTTTTTTGGGGAAACATCCCTATGAAATAAAACAATTTACTTGTAGTTGACAATTCAAAATCTCATACTAGACAATTCTGCCTAATGGCACAATTGTAACTCATGACCAAACACCCTCGACCCTCTCCCCACCCTCGCTTCCCAGACGGCCTCTTACCATGTGTAATTTCATGCACCAGGTCTGTGACCCGGATGTCTCATTTCTCAGGCAGCTTTAAGCGCAGGCCAATCAGGAGCTCACCAGCTCTACGCTCACCCTTGCTTCTCTTGTGCCACCCAACTAGGTACACATCAGAGAGACTCACAACCGTCCAGAGCCTTTCAGAGGCTGGGTTTACCCTGGCTATGGGGTCTTACCTCTGGATCTTGGTAAAAATAATCTATTTCTGAATTTATTTTTCTTTCAAGCACTATTGTGCCAGACCAGAAAAATGAAAATCCTACTCATCTTTAATTTGGCGGATGGGACAAATGGGTACCTTTGGTAAAAAAAAAAAAAAAAATCACCTCTGAAGTGATACATGACTTTTTATAAGACTAACAAACTGAGATGAACATGTTCTAGCCAACGCTTCCCATGTAGGTACCTCCATGATGCTGGTTGAATGAGGGAATCAAAAAAATCAAAAGCACTTGAGAATCATGAATCTTGGAAGGACCACAGTTAGAGCTCTGCAGGAAACCACGGTTTCAAGGGTTACCAGCCTTTGCCAAGACTCTAAGCCACGTCTGTTTCACATGGCATGCACACAAGTGCCACACACAGTCCTGGCAAGGCACACTAACATAACTCTTAAAAGCTACGAGAGGCCGGGACATAGTTCAGCAGCATCAGCGCCTGCCTGGCAAGCCCAAGGTCCCTACAAGAGAACACTCGCATCAAACACAAGCTCTGCCTGACCCAGTGCTCAAATGGGAACGCTTAGGTCATCGGCTGTATACTCAACTATTATTGCTCTTACAGGTGTTTCCTCTGATGAAGGTACTAATAATAAAACTGGAATTTCTTGTTTTCTATCAACCAGTGACAACCTTGCCCCTTCCCTGTTTTTTTGTTTTTTTTTTTGTGACCCTAAGATGCCTGTACTTTTCTTGAGACAAGAGTTTCACCAAGCTGGTCAGGATGACCTTGAACCTGTGATCCTCCTGACTCCGTCTCTACAAAAGCGGGCATTGCAAGCATGCACCATCAGGCCCAGCCTAGAAAGTGTATTACTTTGTTACAGGCCGGCATGTGTGATATCTCATCAAATTCTAACATTTCCACATACCATTGTAAAAAACTAAAGTCAAGGACTGGGGAGCCCTTTAGGAACAAGAGCATTTTTGCAATAAGTAAGTTATCACTGAACATAGTGATTTAATACTCTTTGAGCCAGACATTTAAAAAGATCTTTGTAACCTCCAGGTGACCTTTGTATTCTTGGCTGGCTCAGTAAATGTGTTAAAATGACCTAAAGCGGAAATATATATCAGTTTGATGCCTACAAAACAAAATTACTTAACTGGTTTGTGCATTTGAGAAGTTTTCATGCATTTTTAAAACACAGAATACACTCTATACACTTATACGATCAGTGGATGTAGACTAATGTAACAAAAAGAGATGTGTCTAATTTTAAGGATCTCTGCTCTGCTTGGCACCGGACAGATAGTCTGAATGCACTACAAGGAAAGGAGAGAGGCTCGTGCTCTGCCTTTGCTGCTGCGGCAGCTGCTGCTCCTTCCTTTTTGCTCCTGCTGTCTTCCACAGCCATGAACTGCTGCCCTCTGCCGCGTGCCGCTCTACCTTGGCGCCAGCTGATCACAGGCTGAAACCTCCACTAGCTGAGCTAATTTTTTCCTTCCTTAGTTTTCAGGGGCGGGTATTTTGTCCCAGCAATGAGAAAAAAGTGCCCGAGACATCCCTTCAGAAGAGATCAAGGCCATACTCATGATGCAACCATGAATGTTCGGTACATGTAGAAGAGAATAGGCAAATTCCAAAGCCGGGGACTTTATCTTCCGTGTCCTGCGAATCTCTGTAGGTCAGAAGCCACCATTTCCTACGTCAACCACCAGGCCAGGCTCGGTCCTCTTCACTGATTAGAAGGGACAGAACTTACCAGTTCAGCTTTGGTTCGCTCATGGACACACACGAGTTCATCCTTCTAGATTTCCACTTTACTCTAGCACCCAATTCTGCTGAAGCAGCGACGGCTTCAGCACAGGCAGGATCCCTCCAGCATCTACACTTAACTGAGGAAAAGCAGAAGGCCGTAATCAAAAGCAAGCGACTGGCTCAGCTAGGTTCTAACTTAGGTGAGCGTCTGAGCTCCATGTCAACCGAATGCGCCCCAGGATGGAACACTGCGCACGTGTGAGCGCGCCCAGGGTCTGCGCAGAGGCGCCAGGGTGAGGGCGTGAGACCCCTGGCCATGGACCTGGGCGAGAGGCGCCGCTCTGAGGCCGGCCTGCGGGGTGACGGCCTGCGGGGTGACCGCACGCGTCCTCCCGCCTTCCTGCCAGCGCGCACTCCCCGCACTCCTCGGCAGGCGCGTGTCTTGCGCTCCCGTTCTTACTGTCCAAGTGTTTCCCAGCCGCACACTGGCACAGGCCAGAGTCTGCAGACCAGGCACGGATGGCCAGGGCTCCCTGAGCATCAGGAGCCGCAGACCGGAGGGCGCCGGCCACGCGGGCGGCGAGCTCCAGGCGCAGCGACGCGCGCGGCCGCTCACGGGCTCGCTCCGAGGCAAGCTCGGGGCTCACGACCCGGCCTGACTGATCTGCCACCCGGCGGGGCGGCACACGGCGGCTCGGGACACTGCAGCAGAGCCGGGCACCGGCCCCTC